CTGTGAAAATCCTTACTGTCTGCAGATCTGTTTGATGGCTTTAAAAATCTTACAAAGTTCTTTTTTATCTGAGTAAGACCTTGTGGTCAGTAAGTTTCTCAGACTTCCCTCTTTCCTAATCTAATGCTGATGACATTTTTTTCTCTTCCTCTCTCAACCTCCACCGCTGTGAAGAGCCCACCTTGATCTCCTCAAGTGCTCTGAAACGACAAGCTCAGCTCTCCCAACCTCTTCTCTCAGGTGCTCTAGCCCCCACTGTCTTGCTGGCCTCTTCTGAGCTTGGATCCAGTTTATCATTCTCTGTCTTGTACTGAGGGGCCCCAAACTGGGTGTGGTATCTGAGTCTAATGAGAGCTGAGTAGGTGGTGATAAGCACTTCCCCTGATGTCTGTTCCTACAGCCCAGGCTATCACTGGCTATCTTTGTTCCCAAGACTCACTGCTGACCCATGTGACATTTGCTGCCCACGGGGACCCCCAGGATCTTTCCCAAAGAGCTGTTCCTCAGGAAGCTGTCTGTATCAGTTCCAGATCATTCAAATGTATGATACATTTATATGCATAATCTATATTTGTCAGTGGAATAAACAAACCAAAAAAAAAATTGATCAGCATAATATATTTTTCCTCAAACATGTAGCATTGAAAGGCTTCCTTTTCTCAAGGAAGAGCATCCTTGAACAAAGGATAGTTATGCAATCATACATATTTACTTTCCAAAGTAATCTTGCATTCACTTGATCCTCTGTGTATAACATGAAGGCATCCAGGAGTGTATAGACCATAGTTCTTTATCCTCAATTGAAAGGCAGTCCAACTTTTTATTTCAAATTTTATTAATTTTGCAAACAAGCATTGAACAGTCCATAAGGGACAGTGGCAAAGACTATTTTAGGTTGAATGGGTACTAAATAATACAACACTTACGAGTTAGATAATAAATATTATGAATTAGAATAAGTGACTGTACGACAATTAACATAGAGGACAACTTCTGTAAAAAGTACTCTTCATGTCTAAAACAGACATATAGTCTCTACTGAGCACTAACAGAAGCTTGGTATATAGAAAGTTACTTCCCAAAAGCACAAGATATTTTTATTTGCTTACTGCTGCAAGTGCTATGCATTATCACTCTTCAGTATTCAGCAGGCTCAAGATATCTGTCAAGAAATTTTTACTGAATTGTAGAGTACACACAATTATTCCAATTAATATTTATTTTATTATTTGATTTATTGAGGGCCTGACTGAAAAACACTTGAGCATTTCCAGTGACTAGACACAGAGTTACAAAAGGCTTTAGAGGAGGCCTTTGTATAGTAGTGCAAGTAGCTGCAGTATTTCCTGCATGATTTGTTTGTTAATTAAGAATAAAAATTCTACTAGAAATTTTTTTATAGATTGGTCTAATTTTGAAATCCGAGTTCAAACTCACTTCTTTTCTATGGTGCTGTATATTATTTACCAATTAATGAAAGCTCCAGTGAAGCTGGACATTGTAAGCGTAAACCAGAGAAGAGGGGTGAAAAGTAGGTAGCAGTAGGCCAAGCTGTGAGTAGCTAGAACTATTAAGAGCAGTAAGAAACTATCATTTAACAAGAAAAAAACGTACTAAATTTTGATAATGGTAAACTGTCAGTCATATACAAAAAAATGGCTGTAACATTCAGAACAGAATATATTTCATTTTTTAAAAGAAGCAGGATAATGTATTCCAGTCTCACAGTGAAAGCAAAATACCTTTTTCTGCATATGTACCTAGGAAGGATATAAAAGTCAAATATACTACTACTAATGCAGTATAACAATCACATTACAAAGTCAAAAACTCAGAAGTTAGTTTATCACATGGTAGAGATTTCCTCTGGAGTTTTATTACTGCATATCATCATCTCGAAGAGCATCCAGTAGATCTGAGTGCAGGAATTTTTAGCCACCTTGAGTAGTGCCTTCCTTTTCTTTTAATCCTATTGACATTTACTTGAATATTTATGGAGTAGGTTGCTCTCTGGTGTGCACAGTTTCAGGATCTACCCAGCAGATACTTTGGAGTGAACTATAAGCAGTGCTTTATATTTCTGGTCCAATTGCTACTCCTCAGCTGAGGTGAGAGAAATCTCTTTTTGCATGTGCATCTGACTCACTGACAGGCCCATGTGATGTATTACTCTTCCTACAGTCTCTGTTTTAATGTCCTCATGTATTCCTGTGTTCAGAAAGGCCAAATGCAAAGGTTCTGCATCTGGGTCAGGGCAATCTCCAATGCTAATACAGACTGTGGGATAAATGGATTGAGACCTTCTCTCTAGAGAAAGACTTGGGAATACTGGTAGATGAAAAATTAAACATAAGCCAGCAATGTGTACTTGCAGTCCAGAAAGCCAACCAGTTTCTGGGAGATCCCACCTGAAGTGCTGCTTCCAGCTCTGGGATTTCCTACATAAGAGGGACATGGACCTGTTGGAGCGAGTCCAGAGGAGGGCCATGAAAAGGACCATGGGGCTGGAACATGTGTCCTGTGAAGACAGGCTGAGAAAGTTGGGATTGTTCAACATGGAGAAGACTCCAGGAAGACCTTTTTGTGGCCTTTGATATATAAAGGGGGCTTATAAGAAAGATGGAGAGAAACACAGTGAAGGTGTTGAGACACTAATAAGTTGCCTAGAGAAGTTATGGATGCCCTGGAAGTGCTGAAGGCCAGGTTGGATGGGGCCTCAAGCAGCCTGTGCTAGTGGAAGATGTCCCTGTCAGTGGCAGCGGAGCTGGAAAGAGATAATCTTTGAATGTCCCAACCTCAACCATTCCATGATTCTATGACTCCGTGCAAGTGTACCAAATCAAAATGCCATGAACAACCTGAATTGCATGAACTTCTGGAACTTTTTTTAAAAAAAGGGTTGGGGAGAAAAAGCTCAGATAGTTGGTAAATTTGTCAAATCTGATTTTGGATAAGCATGGAACCAAGATTAAAGTTAGACAGAGATACTCATAATGGAAATTTCAGCTTAAATGCTTAGTTAGGGAAAATCTTAGTAGTGACTGAAAACAAGGTCACAGAATGGTAAATCATTAGACAACCCTGCCAGTACTCATCCAGCTTCAACTACCAGGTCAGTCTAAATAATCTTGATCCTTCCCTTGGTTCTTCAGTGTTGCTGTCAGGGGAACTTCATAGTGAAAAGCACTTTAAAGAGCAATGGCATTGTTATAATTTATATGTTAAGATATATAACTGAAGGCAGCTTCTGTTCCATTTTAGTGGTAGTACAGTACACTCAGTGCATGCAATTTAGCTGTTAAATTAGTTTACACATTTATGGAAATTTCCAAAGGGGAAGAAGCTAACAAAATAACCAGTTTTGCCTGGACATTATGGAAACAGTATATGGTCCCAGATCTCTACTTGTTTACAGTGGTGTAATGTAACTTCAGTGCAGAAGTCCTTCTAAAATTTAGTCATTCAACATTTTCACCAGCCATTGCAGTATACTTGCCCATCCATTTGTCTTCAGAAAGACAACCTCCTAAACTGCAAGGTACTGCCAGTCTCTGCTTGTGGACAGACATCCGGAGATACAGCTTGGGTAAAATAGGCAGGCAGATTGATTGTTCCTACATGTTTTTTTCTATTAAGAGCTTCCAAAAATGTCAAATGAGCTTTAACAGCTGTCTCAGCTCATGAGAAACCCTCAGCTTCTTATATATATCCTCCTGCACAATCATCTGGAAAGGCTATGGTGGCAAACTTGGCAAATGGGTCTACAGCAGCTTCTGTTAAGTTTGGTGATGGGAAATATTTGCTTATACTACTTTTTTTGATTCATGCTCTTGTCACATTTACATGTAATACTAACCGTTTCAGATACTATTTCTATTGAGATACTGGTTCCAATTTATTGATCTGAGAATGTCCAGATCTACTATTAGTAGATTCTCTACAGAGAGAAGAATCAGCTGTATTTATTCTCTGAATAACTCCTTTCTCAGTACTTGCTTTCTTCTCACCCTACTCTTTGCTGAAGCATTTTCTAACATTTCTGTAGTGTTCTGTTCAGGGTGAAAGCTAGATTAGTAATGTAGCGAACCCAAACTAATTCTTGAGGTCTGGCTGGGCATGTGTTAACAGACTGTGTGAGAATGTTACAGATGTATGGGCAAGCAGACTGCACAACACAGTGCTGTCAATAAAGCTTGAGGGCCTCAGGATTTCTCAGGCTACCTTTATCCAGAGCCAGAAGACTTCTGCAATTCACTCTGCTCCCTCTTCCCCCTGAGGGACAGCTTTCTTTAAAGAAAATAAGGGATAAGAGAGAGGTAAGGCCTGTCTGACGAGACCAGAGGGATCAGTCTGCTGAACTTCATTGCCTTCAGGTAGGGAGTTCAGAGTCAGATAGCCTGTGTAGTAGAGAGAGGCATCAATTCTTATTTGAAAATAACAGAGAAAGGTGCAGTCAAAAGCCTGTAACAATAGCATCTATTTGTAAATTATCCCTACAGCAGGAAGAGCTACCCACTAATGAGAAGTTATATACTCTACAGTGTTTTTTATGGTCATGTTTTGCTTTGTCTAATTATCTTCCTGATATAATTTTCTAGCACAGCAAATACTAATTATAAATTATAATTATGTAGCACTATTCTTACCCAACAGCAAGCTCAGCCAAGATAGTGTGAAACAAAGCTGCAAGCAATCTCTCATTTAGGAAAAGGCAGTTTTCTGTGTTACTGCTATGGGAAAATGTTGCCCTATCTCAGTTGATGATATACACAGGTCTAGATTATCTTCTTTGGTTATAATGGAGACAAACAACTATGCAATTGCAAGTCAGGTTTTGACTGCACCTGTTTGCAAACTCAGGTAATTATGCTCCGTTGGCTAATTGCTTATTTATGGATATTTCGCTCACGTTTTAAGCAATGCTATTTGATTGCAACCCTAATGATAGGGTTCCCTTCTCCTTATCATACTTTAACATTTGATTTTTCTAATTGCTGCAGGTGGAAACAATAGGTGATGCATACTGTGTTGCAGCAGGGCTCCATAAGAAAAGCCTTAGTCATGCTAAAGCTATTGCCCTGATGGCATTGAAGATGATGGAGCTTTCAGAAGAGGTTCTCACTCCAGATGGAAGCCCTATTAAGGTAACCCCTTTGCTCTTTATTCTCAGCTAGTCAGTGATACATGGACCTGATTCATTATATCGTGTTCCGTCAGTAGGAATCTGTTTATTGCTGGGAGAATTTACAACTGCATCAATATGTCGTAGTCCTTTTTTGTGTGTACGTATATTTCACTGGTGCTCATCAATAGTCGTGTAAGTTATGCCCTATTTTAGTAAGCACAATAGACCACATGGACAAGCTGTTGCCTTGTTGTATGCATTGAATGCATATTTGTGGCTGAAGGGCACCCCTGGAGCCCTTCTTCCAGTTCAGTGTTGTGGGAGAAGGAGACGATTCCCATGATTCAGGAGTGTCCCATGCTACAAGCCAAAGCACAGTATGTGATGGCAATAAAGAAATTTACTTCAGGAGTAAGCGCCTAAGCTGAACTTCAGCAGTAGTGTAGTGGCTCTCAGAAAGTTCTGCAGCTTTGAGAGGCCATATGCCTCTTTTCTTTAGTTGTAGACCTGCATAAAAGAAGAATGTCTAGACTAACTGTTCTTTCTCAGTGTTAATCTGCTTTCTTCCTGTGCTCCTCCAGTTCCTTTCCCTAACTTTGGTATGGAGATAGCAGGAGGAGGAACAACAGATGTCCTCTTATACCATTTTAAAGTTCCACTGCTGTTCTGCCTCTTTTGATCCCATACCAACTCTGTAGCTGCTGGCACTTGGAATTGGTAATGTTTAGGTAGGAGATGGAGATGTAGCAAGGAAGAGAAATCATGGAGGAACACATGTGCTTTTCTTTCCCAAGGGTCACATTACACATGGTTTTCATTATGTGTATTCACTCCTATTTTTGGGTAAATTGTTTTTCCCATAATACAAACCTTCTGTTTTCAAAGAGAATGGGAATATTATGGGAGTATTATGTATTATGTAGAACAGTATTCAACACTGTCTAAAGCCTCTAACAAAAGCTATATGTGGCTGGATGAGAAGGCCAGGCAGACATCCCACACCATGATTTCTATTGTGGTTGAAATTCACTTTGTAAACTGCAGTTCCTTTAGTCTGTTAAAAATGAGGGTTACATAAAAAATGTATCCTTTCTTTTCCCCCATGAAATGGAAAGACAGTTTTGAAGGTTTAAAACTTGACAGAAAAGAGATAATTAAAAAAAAAAATATTCAGAGGGTTGTTAAGATGTTTCTTGAGCAATAAAATTGTATAGTTAAGAGTTTCAAATCTTCCTTATTTATTAGTTAGGTCATATCTTGAACTATATTCCTTGAACTCTTTGTGTATGGTAAATTGAGAGAGATTTAATCCAAATCATTTATTCTGCCTGGAAAGGAGAGTTTGGATGCAAAGCAACAAAGCTAAGAAATTCCATGAAATAGGGCAACACAATATTCAAATGAATAAGTATGGAATTCTGGATAAAAAAATTTTAAGCATTAATGCTGCTTATGAATTTTTAAAATGTCAAAATAAAATATTTGAGTATTGAAAAATGTCCACATATTCAAAAGAATAGCTTTCTGAAAAAATATGTTGGACTATGGATCTTGAAGAAAAACAGTTTTAAAGCATTGAACACAGAATAAGCATTAAAAGACAAATGTTTTCTGAGGATAGCAGAAGACGTAGCATTTTCAATTTTGATAAAAGACTATTTCAAACAGGAATTATTTATTTCTGTTAAAATATATTTTCTTAATTGATTGACTTTTCTCTATTTTTCCTGTAACTGTGGATGATTAACATGTGCTAGCTACACTGCTACATGCTGGGAGAGTGGTCTTCCAGGTCTTCTTAATTTTCCAACTTTCTCTTGAGTAATTGCTGCAATTGTGAGGAAATTTTGAAGGTGTTTTATTCTGAGAGTCACATTTTGTGACTGTTTTCATTAACACTCTATTTTTCAGAAAATTCCTCATGTTTTCACTGACTGTGTAAGAGAATCTATAAAGACAGTGCAGCGGAAAAATGCTTGCATCGAATAAAATGCTAGGAATAACCAAATATTTTCAAAAAGTGCTAGTAAACCTCCTTTATAATTCAGAAAAAAAAAAGTCAGTTCATCATACTTAAACTGAAAGTAGAAGTACTGAGAAACTCATTGGCAGTTCTTGGTTATCATCTTCAGTTTTAGGTCTAAGGGATTTCATAACAGGAGAGATGGTAATATTGTAGAATGATGCTGTTACCTTTGTATGTAACCTAGAAATTGTGTTTAAAAATAAGGCTTATTGTTCACAGAGGCATTCAGATTTGATTTTAAATATATTAAGATAAGGATTCCTCTCACATGGATATTTACCCTGTAAAACTATTGCAATAAGAACTTCTGGAGAAGTCTACTTAGTTTGTCCTAGTTTAGGTGTGTACTCTAGGATGAGGAGAATCTCACCCTACAAATTCGTATTTTTTTTAGTTGTCTGTAAGGAAAATCTATGGCCTTAGTCTAACTGTGGATGTCTACTCTGTAAGCTTCTATACTCCGTCAAATGAGTCCTCCTACAAATGGCAAAGAGTGCATGGTTTTTCCTAGTGGCAATGTCAATGACCAAAACAGTTAAAAAGATATATGTTATTTCTAAATTCAGTTCATGTGACTTTTACCTTCCAGACAATGTTAAATTGGCCAGAATGATCCTTATTTTTGTTAGCTGACAGTTTTTCACTTTAAAAACCATGAAGGGTTCCATTGTGTCATATATTCCCATTACATCGAATGCTGTATGTGCACAAAAATGTCTCTAAGGGGCGTCAGGGGAAGTTCAGATTGGATATAAGGAAAATGTGGTGAAGCATTTGAACAAGCTCCCCAGGAAAGTGGTCATGGTTCCAAGCCCATACATGTTCAAGAGTTTGGACAACACTCTTTAATACATGGTTTAACTTTTAGGTTGCCCTGCATGAAGTCAGAAGTTGGACTTACCTGAAGTTTAAGGAACCCCTAACATCTGTAAAAGTTGCTATGGACTCAGCTCAGAATCATTTATAGGTTACTTACTGCATGACACGCTTTACAACTAAGCCTTGTAAATAAAATATTGACATATTCATCTATATTAAAATCACAGTACACAATGTAGTCTCTAAGATATTTATAAGTGGCCTGACTTTTACTGTACTATAGTGTGATTACTTTGAGATGGTCCTGTTGATACAGGTGGCAAAACAAATGCAGGGTTTTGACTATATTTTGACCTTAATTTTTATCTGTGATTCATGTTAATGAGTACAAGTCACATTTTCTGAGTCCTTGACAAGCATGTTGGATAAAAATCCTAATGCATCTTTTATTTTGTCATACTGAAAAACCTACATCAGTATTTAGATATTTGAAAAGAACTTGAAGTCAGAGGGCAGTTTTCCTCATGACCAATGCTTAATAACTTTGACAGCTTTCATGAGTTCCTGTGACTAAATTCCAACTTTATTCTTCAGTATAGTCTAGAAGCCATTTTGAAAGAGATAAGTGCTTCACTAAGACAATTTTTTGAAACATAATTCTAAAAATAAATGACCTCCTTATCTCAGGAATAAACAGCTCTGTTCTGTTACTGATGGTTGCTCAATTAGATATGTCTACCTTTATGATTATGGTTTATGGAATATATTTATTTTCTCAACTACTTTGATGAATATATTTTGTTGTCATCTCTGGATTGAATTCACCAGAATGCAAGTACTTATTTTTTGTAGTGCTTGAAATGTTCATCCATGTGATAGCAGTAGATCTTAAGTGACAAAGTGTCAGAAAGTTAGGATGAAAAAGTAAATTAATGAATTAAAAATTACCATATCAAATAACAGGAATTTAGGATAAGATTTTCACCTATAAAGTACATTAGCAGATAATCAAATAAAGATTGTTGTCTGGGTACACAGTTCTCATATGAAAGTATTCATTGTACTGATCACAGTAATAACTTTTTTGTACAGTCATGTACACTTTACGAAAAATCTGCCCTTCAGGGCAATGCTCGTGTGGCCATCAAAGAGTGATGGACCTCAGGATGGTGACTAGGTGTATGAAGCAGGTCTGGTTTATATCTAGATGATGCTCCTGCCTCTGAGTCAGAGCTCATAGCATGCTGATGAGAGCACCACAGTGTGCAGCTGACACATGCTCATGCTCAGGCAGTCAGCACTCCCAGCACAGCCAAAGGCAGAAATGCACGAGCAGAATGGAGACCCTGACCCTGCACTTCTCGTACCTGTGTGAAGAGCCTGTGATTTGAAGGGTAGTGAAAAACTTTTGTTCTGCAGAAAGAGAGCGAGGTGTATTATAGCAGCACCCACAAATCCTGTTATCAGTGTTGTGAGAAAGAAATACTGGTAACAGAAAATGGGCTGATTATTCCCCTGTGGGTGATGGAGAAGGCTTCAGGTATGTGTATGATATTTTTTTTAAACTCAGACCTACCTGAGGTAAAATGCCATTATTTTAGGATAATAAGGCCTTAGTACAAGAGAAGGACTTTTGCCACAGACACTGCATGTAGAATTGGATATGCATTATTAGCCTTTCAGTAAAACATTTTACTCTGGAAGCACTGCTTTCATATAGGATCTGTACAACAAATTATATGTAGTGCTCTATGATGGTAGTCTGAAAATATTGATTTAAAATTACCTCCTACAAGTAAGGGAATTTTACTTGAATTTAGGATATGCTTCATATTTTACTCCTTTTTTTTTTTTTTTTTTCAGATAAAGTGGAATTACATGAATTTTAATAGCTAGAGATAATGCTGTATGGAAAATTCTCTATAACGTTGACCTACAGTGAAAAGTTGCAAAGCAGATCTCATTTGATGTGTTTAAACCCATAGAATATTATTGCTGGGATCACTTTTTGTCATGCCTCAAATCTTGCCTGATAATTTAATTGTTTAAAAGGGCTGCTCTGGCAGAACATACTTATTTTTGACTAATGAGATTTCCCAAGAGAATATTATCCACTTATTTTTGTGGTGTGTGAAGGTGATCCTAACAGTGTTGTGAAGAGATATAGACCTGGG